CTCCTATTCAGAAATTTGCTGATTTTGTAAGTTTTCTTTAACTTTACATGTTTTTTCTAGTATATTTTGGTATTAAAGATTTATGCTCAATGTGATGGCATATCTGAGGTCATGGCTTTAAGTTGGAGGAAGAACATGGTTGTCATTGCTGAAGCTTTAGAGGCGATTATATTATCTTGCTTGCATGTTGTATTTTGTCCTTAACTCTAGGTTTCTATGGCTTGCAGGTTGCGAGCATCTTCGTTCCTACTGTTGTTACTTTGGCATTGTTCACATTGTTGGGATGGTAAGATCTAAATGGCTTATTTTGTGATATTCACCTTTTTGTGATATAAAATGTGTGTGACCCCATTTGATATTGGATTCTTTTGTTGATTGCTTGTAGGTATGTTGGCGGAGTTGTTGGAGCCTACCCAGAGGAGTGGCTACCAGAAAATGGCAATTACTTTGTTTTCGCTCTTATGTTTTCAATATCTGTGGTGGTAATTGCATGTCCTTGTGCTCTTGGCTTGGCCACTCCAACTGCTGTCATGGTTGCAACAGGGGTTGGAGCTAATAATGGTGTGTTGATAAAAGGAGGGGATGCGTTGGAAAGAGCTCAGAAGGTCAAGTATGTTATATTTGACAAAACGGGCACTTTAACCCAGGGCAAAGCGAAGGTCACAACTGCTAAAGTTTTCTCAGGGATGGATCGTGGAGAGTTCCTGACACTGGTGGCTTCCGCAGAGGTAATTTCTAATAGCCTAACTAGTTTCAAAACAATATTCCTCTCTCTCTGTTTATTTTTGTTCCATTTCTGGTTTCATGTCCTACATGAGTATGACTGCTACTCCCAAAAGAGCACATTTAAAATACAGACTTGCATTGAGAGGCACAGAAGAGCCTTCTTTTATGCATCTCAACTGGTACTGAATTTCCTTTTCTTCTCATTGCTTAGGCTAGCAGTGAACATCCTTTGGCGAAAGCAATAGTGGAATATGCTCGCCACTTCCATTTCTTTGATGAGAATTCGCTAACTGAAGATTCCCAAAATGGCAGCAAGGGATCCCTCCTTCCTGCATGGCTTCTTGATGTAGCAGAGTTCTCTGCTGTGCCAGGAAGGGGAATTCAGTGTTTTATTGATGGAAAGCGAGTACTGGTTAGTGTTTGGTCATAATTATTTATAAATTATGAGGCTTCAGAAGTTGTCCTATTATTCTTACCAAAAGTGGTGCTGTTGAACAGGTTGGTAATCGGAAGCTGCTAACAGAAAGTGGAGTTAGCATTCCTACTCAAGTAGAAAATTTTGTAGTGGAATTGGAAGAAAGTGCCAGGACAGGCATACTTGCAGCATATGGTGATAATGTGATTGGAGTTTTGGGAGTCGCAGATCCATTGAAGAGAGAAGCTGCTGTGGTTGTGGAAGGCCTAGGGAAAATGGGTGTCAGACCTGTCATGGTCACTGGAGATAATTGGAGGACAGCTCAGGCTGTTGCGAGGGAGGTTTGTATGCATACATGCATTTATAATATTTTGATGGGCTTTCTTTTGAAATTCTGCTTATCTGAATTCAATCATTAATATTGCATCAGATAAATTTAGTTTCCTATCTGGTATAAGCAGTAGAAAATGCTGTGCCTTTGGTGTGTCTGTGTTGGTATTTATTGGTTAGATGTAAGTGGCAAACTCATCTGACCTGCTCATACAAAAAAATTAAGATCACAATATGAGAGACTGTGCAGACTGTAGATTGTTAAAATATCTGTTCAGCATTAATCTAATTTACTGGTTTTGGACAGGTGGGCATCCAAGATGTGAGGGCAGAGGTAATGCCGGCTGGAAAAGCCGATGTTGTAAGTACGTTTCAGAAAGATGGAAGCGTTGTTGCTATGGTGGGGGATGGGATCAATGACTCTCCTGCTCTAGCAGCTGCAGATGTTGGTATGGCAATTGGGGCAGGGACAGATATTGCCATAGAAGCTGCAGACTATGTTTTGATGAGAAATAATTTAGAAGATGTAATCACAGCCATCGATCTCTCCAGGAAAACATTCTCTCGAATACGATGGAATTATGTTTTTGCCATGGCGTACAATGTGATTGCAATTCCAATTGCTGCTGGGCTTTTCTTTCCTTCACTAGGGATTAAGTTGCCACCATGGGCAGCTGGTGCCTGCATGGCTCTGTCTTCTGTAAGCGTCGTGTGCTCTTCTTTGCTACTTCGAAGATATAAAAAACCAAGACTTACCACTATATTAGAAATAACTGTAGAGTAGAAAAAAAATTTAAGAAAACATTTTCTTTTTTTCTCTTCAACTTCTTTAGGTTTCTGTTTTATAGCAAGGAAATTGAAGGGTGTGAGTGAATCATAAATTCCCCAATTTTGTGAATTTTCTTCTTTTCCCCTCCATTTGAGTCTTAGTGAATTGGGGATGAATTGTCCATCCCATTAACTGTAAATTTACATCCTTGTATAATATATGATCATTGATGCATTTGTGCCTCCCAATTTTCTTTTTTTGGTGCTCATGGTGTTCCTTTCTCTCTATATTTTTCCAAGTCTTATCATCCCATGTACCGGCCTTCGAAATGTAGTCTTACGTAATATCAATTCTATGGAAATATCATGACGACAGGAGCAGTGGCAGCTATTGCATTACATGTGCAGGGTGGATGGTTTTTGAGCCTCCTGAATCCAGACGGCCTTTGGTATTTGCATCTTAATAACTGCTATTTGCACGTGATGAATGATGCCCTTAGTTAGATGTCTGGCTAGCCCTACCAAGGGAAAGAGTGTTCCTGTGTTTTCTTGAATGCTCGTCATCATCAATTTCTGCTAAACTAAAAGTGAAAGTACAGATAGGGGATTCAACGTTTTGTCCCAACGAATCAAATTTCTTCAAGTGTGTTGAGATCTTTGCTTGGTTGTCAAATGTAATTCTCCTCGGCCCCTGGGTTGGAAATATATCGGAAGTTGTCGCAAAAGCTGATCAGCCAACTCACCAGCTGCTGGCTGTTCCTAATGTCTGGCAATTGGCAGCAAAGCCTTCTGTCGTATCACCCTGCGCGTTCAATTTTTTCTCTGAACTGCAACATTCTGTGTTTCAACTTTCAAATCAAAGAGAAATCTGATAAAAAACAAGGCCAGCAGGGTGCTACTGCTTGTGGCTTTTCCTGGAAAGTGAAGCACGGTTTTGCTTGGGCGTACTTATTACCATTAATATTGCAATTCAAGAACAAAAAATAGATAGAGCCATGGGTCTCTCTGAGTTTCTTTTTCTTGCCCTTTGGCCACCCTCCCTATGTATAAGAAGAAGAAAATTCTTTTTGCAGTCCCTTTCAAAGTACTAGTTTGAATTGAGGTTTCTTTCAACTGGATAAATGCGCTACCAGGGGGCTATGGACAATGTCCAATTTCATGTACAAGTTTCCCGGCGAAGCAACGAATGAGAGGGGATGCATGTTTAGCTTTATGGCGACGGAGAGACCAAGTCAAAACCTACTAGAAGCACGAGTCAATCGGATAAAACCCGATTGTCCCACACTTATTGATTAGTTTATATATTTTTTTATTTTCATAATTTTACATAACGTATTTAATTTTATAAAATTTAAAATCATGTAAAATTATATAATAATAAAAAAAAACACCACATAAGGCAGAAGGTTCTGCGTTGAATCAGTAAATAACACATTTTCTCCAAGTTTCATTATTAATTCCATTAATAATTCCGCATTGTTCATCTATGACCAATCAGCATCATCTACTCCGTCACAAGTCCGTCAGTTCCCCATAGTCAAAACCATACCTTATACCAATAGTCCTTTTCACACTATGCAAAGAAGCGAAACTTCCCCACTGTTTCCTATTGATAAAACTAATGCATTTGCCTTCATAATGAGTAAAAGCAAAACGGAAAAGAAAGAAGAAAATGGAGCGGAGAAAACCAATAGCAATCCAGCAAATATCCTCATTTTTTTTTCTTTTTTTGCTTCCAGGCTCCCCACCTTGTTAACAGGTGCAAAGACGATTACCAGCCCGTCAAAGTAGAACAGGAATTGATTTCTTTTGGAGCAATGATGCTTCAGAGGATTTGGAGACAAGTAATCTCTGGTCAAAACCACATCCGATAATCTTGGTCCACAAGCAATAAATCCCTGTTGGGTTTGTCACTTTTTTGTTGTGGACTGTGTCCTGGAAAGTCTTTACATTAAATTTGCACGAGTTAGAATCCCTTGCCCTGTAGGAGTATTTTATTTGGTAAATACAGTTTCAATCATGACAAGGTAAATTATATACAACGTAACTATCAAGAAAGGAACTGTCAAAAAATTTAAGAGTAATTGGTTTCTTGCATCACTTGTCATTCCTTGTATCATCCTCAGCAGTATGGCTTTTAATATCATTTTTGCAAATTTGCTTCCCGATTGCCGTTGGTCAAGAATTTTAAACTGCAAAACTCTCTCTGCAATTTACATACATGTTAGGGAATGGGGTTAGAACAAAGTTCGACTATATCCCCAATTCCCCCAGACACAGCAAGCATACGGTTCTAGCTATGTTCCTTTGTTTCGGATTGATACAAGTGTGAATGTGTTTATGGTCACAATGGCAAGGAATATCAGGTGCCCTTTAGCCCGTGTAAGTGCAAATAGGCAAGACGTGAAAGTGTGAAAAGCAAGAATCTGGAAGCCAAGCACGACGAACAGGTGTGCTGACTTTTAAAAGTTGTTTGAATTCTTGCATGTTGTACGGGCAAAATTCACCCATCACCCTCATTGCCGTGGAATTGCTTGCTTGCATGACGAGTGACGACGCATTGCCAATCCAATTCAGACTGATTATTGATATATTTGACACTACATGCAAAACTTGATGGGGAAGAAAAGGAGGAAGATTTAATGTATCACAAGGAAAAGCACATTAAATTCCTTTCTCATTTTTCAAATCAAAAGGTTGACCAAAGAGGCAAAGACCATCTCAAAAGGATCCAAATTAATTTCACCCACCAAAGGTCTAAAGTTAATCCATACGCATGTGATATGATCATGACCCGTTTGATGTTAACAGATGTTGTTTCCAAGAAATACTCTCTGCTTTGGCCTTAAGCCTTCCAATCTGTTCTCTGTATGCAGGGACAAGGGCGTACCTGTTAACTTTGACCAGAGATTGTCATTATATAAACAAATTGGAGTAAAGGTTGTTTTTTTCTAAGAAAGAATTCAGAAGCAGGGAAAACAGACAGAGAGTGATCACTCAATAATCCATGAGCAGCACCACTGCGGCAACTTCCAATGAATGGATGCAATTCTATGAACAAACTGTTGATGAACTGTCAGCATCATCTTTGGCATTCTCTGATGCCACTGCAGTGGCTACAAGTGCCTCCCCTGAGAGCAATCTTAGCCCCAGCAGTTTACATTCGGCAAGCGATCAATTGACGCCTATGGGTTCTTCCTCAAAGCCAATAAGAAGAAGGTCGAGAGCTTCCAAGAAAACACCCACCACCCTTCTCAATGCTAACGCCAGCAATTTTCGAGCTTTGGTGCAACAATTTACAGGTTGTCCTAGCGCACCTCTGTCACAAAGGAGCAGAAGAGGCCCGATTAACTTGAATTTTGCTGTCGGGAGTGAACGGAACCAAAGCAATATTGCAACTTCCATAATGTCTGCTTCTGGAAACGGTTATAATTTTTACCAACAAAGTCATCAAGAGCAGCTGCGGCAGCAAATGTACCAGGAACAGCAGCAGGCAGTCTCATTTGACAACGTTCAACACGATGCCTTTTTTCCAAGTTCTAGCAGTAGAGCTAATGCAGATCTGATCCTTGACGGTTTCGACTTGGATAATATTTCTTTACAGGCGCTTACCGGGGACGTGCCCTGCTCCAGTGGAAATGCAAATGATAGCAATTACTTCTTGTAAGGATTAGGTTATCTAGTCATATCATCACCTACTTTTGGTGTTTGTTTATCTGTCAGAATTTGATTAGGAATCCGGAAATAATGTCTTGATTTATTCAACTACTTTATTATTTTTTTGTTTGAATTAATATCATAGACAAGAAACCAGGAATTACTATTTGTTTAATTCCTGAAGGAAGTCAACAAGAAACATTGGAGGAATGTTTTTGATATGCAGTTGCAGATCTCGTCATATTATTCCTTCACGAAAATTGGAATTCATAAATCAAGTTATTGAATGCATATGAGAATACTGTATTATCTCATTGGAGTCAAAATAAAGAAAGAGAAGGCACTCACTATATAATGTACCTTCTTCATCTGATGATGGTCTGCAGAAAAATCAGAAGCCTCGCCTGTTGGATGATCTAAGAAAATAAATGAAAAACTTTACCTTCTTAATAGAGAGAATGTTTCTTTCTTCCTCATTTCATTATCAAAATGTACACGACTTTTCTAGTTCTGGTAAACAATACTCCCATCCGACTGGTTCACAATAGTGAAAGGGCAGGGCCTCGGCTTTTTCTATTCAAAGTCTGTATGCCAGGCAGAGCATAAGCACCAAGCCTGATGTGAAAAACAAGGCCCAACTTCAAAGTCTGGCCCCTTTTGAAGCCCTCCCAAACTCAGCAGAAGCTGGGAAAGGAAAGCCGCGAAAAGCATACAAGTCTCCGAACTGAACTCCTCAGTTTCACTGACCCTGACCCTGACCCTGTGTTTCTCGTTTATGATAAACACTGAAAGCTAAAAAAAGGCGAGGGTTTTAAGCCTCAGCAGTCACCATGAACTCCCTCAATCGAACACTTGCAAAAATTGCAACTTCCCAAGCGCAGCAGGCGTCAAGAAGATGGATTTTGCAGTCTTTCTCTACTTCTACAACTTCCAAGCGGTTGACACAACCCGAGAACCCTTCCGACTCTAAAGACTCAGCACCCAAGGAATGGCCTAGGCCCGGTGAGATCCCCTACCAGTCCAAGGTGGCTAACTCGGTCAGTCTCTCGGGTTATATTCATATGCCCGTCCAGTTCGAGGCTGCTTCTGATGGGAAATTCTGGGCTGGCACTGTCATTGCCCAGAACCCTTCTTCTGATTCTCCTCCCCTTTGGTACTTATCTCCCCATTTCCTTGTTTTTGCTTTGGTTTGAATGAACTATTCAGATTCCCCTATCTTTTCAATTTTTTTTTTAATTGTCAATACTTTTAATTCCTTTATTTCTGCTTCCATCTTGTTGTGATCACTGAGAACTAATGATTAATTTTCCTGTTCATTTCTTTATTAGCTTTAGCTACTGCATTGTTTATTAGTGTTTGCTACAGTTTGATGATTGGATTACTATGTTGTTTAAACTTATGCAATTCCATTTGTTTTGTTTTGTAAACACATCAGGATTCCAATAATTTTCGAAGGCGATTTGGCCCATATTGCTGCTTGCCATCTGAAAGAAAATGATCATGTCTATATAGATGGGCAACTGAGTGCAGATCCACCTTCTTCTAATGCAACTCATGGTCAAGCCAATGTCCAGGTAGGAAGCAAGGGAATGATAACTGCTGGACCTCTTAAAATTTTCAAATTCAATTCAGTTGATCTAGTTGTTCAATTTTTTGTGGAAAACCATTTTTTTTAGTGTATAATTAGCATTGGAAAAAGTTACTAGTGAAAGACTAGGATATAATAATGAAGAGTTTATAGTTCTAAAACTGAAGTTTCTGTTTTATTTGTTAATGTTTCTATGGAAGTTCACGGTATAAAAGTTAGTGCTATTTTTAAAATTTCAAACTTACCAATGCGATCACATATTTCATTTAAGGCAAAAAGGGAGTAGATGGTACTGCCCCTTACAACCTGACAGGTGTGAGAACCTAATTCTCAGTCTTACTTCTGTTTCAGGTTGCTTAACCTTGACTGATTAAGATAATACTTGACCTTAACCTTTTGTAAATGTGTGGTTCATGGAGTATGTGTTGGAAAACATCCTGCCTAAAAAATTACTTTTAATTATATAGCAGTAACAAGCGTTGTGCTCTTGTTATTAGATTAATTGTAACCTAGTTTAAAAAAGAGTGTGGTAAAGAGAAGTTCTCTTTAGCTCAGATCTCTCTATCTGTAATTTTTCTTAATAAAATATATTTTACACAAATAGTTGAGAAATTACAATTTTGGGATTGGTCTAATATTTCAAGTCTCTCCATGGTAGGTTATGGTGCGTACTATCAACTTTGTTGATGAATCTCCACCCATGACAAAAAGCATTTCTTCCCATAAACAAGAAGGGACCTTAAGTCATTCTGGTGAGTCTCTTTGTGGTTCTATCTAGCGTATTTTCATAGCATGGACGAATAGAAGGTTTCAAATCTTTTTGATAATGTATTTTGTGCTTAATTTGTCCAAGATAGCTCTATTTCTTTCATCAAAGCAAAAATTTTTGCTATGATAATTGGTGTTGATACTAGGTTCCTAGTGATTAAAATATATCTGCCTTGTATTTAGATTTTCTATGTGGCCAGAAAAGATGTCAGGACTCAGGAAATTTAACAATTGTACAGAAAAAAATTGGTAAACACTGAAGGTAAATTTAGCCCAACCGTTGAATATTTGTTGAAGGTTTTGATTGAGCCCTCCATCTTCTGTTGTGTTCAATAGTTGGAGGTCTCAATTAAAATTTTCTATCAGCCAAGGTAAAGTAAAATATGTTTAAATGGTGCAACTGAAATTGTTCCATCAATTGGTTATCATTTGTTGGCTCCATTAGTGGAACCAACAGAACCTATGAGCAATCACGATTTTCAACAGGTCTATCTTTACTCACATCCTGCATTACATTAAATCAGAAAAACTGATCAAAAGGCTTAAGTGGCATTTACCTTCTTCATTGCTACAGTATATTGTTGTTCGACAGGTGCTTCTAGGGCTTAGCTATTCTGTTGTTTTTGTTTTATTCTCCCTGAGTTCACTAAGTAGGGCTAACTTTTTTCAGCTAGTACTAAGAAAGGTACTGAAACTGCCCTGAATCCCTGGAGGGATCTTCTTGATAATCCAAAAGAATGGCAAGATTACCGTGAAAATAAGCTTAATGGATTGGTAATCCTCTGATTGAATTTATCTTTTGTCTTGCTGCCTTGAAATTTGTGCTTATTATTTTATTTACAGGTAAAACCCAAATATCCTGATTTTAAACACAAAGATGGTGGTCTTGCACTTTGGCTTGACTCCGCACCTAAGTGGGTGTTATCAGAACTTGAAGGACTGCAATTTGATGTTCCTATTCAAAAACCAAAGCAACTGAATCGACATAAAGGTATGGTTAAATAAATTTTGTTTTGTTTTCATTGCAATGACTGTGTAAACATGAGCCCCTGTTAGAGTATATCAACCCAATGTAGATAATCAAAGAAAATATTTTTAACAGTAGTCCTATGGTAATATATGGTAACACAGAAAGAATATTTAGACTGGTGATAATGTCCAAATGCTGAGCTTCTTCTACCATTTGAATGCGGTATCAATTCTGATGATGCATCGAACGTGTTATAATTTGACTTGATTCAGGGGATGGACCCTGGAAGGACTTGGTGGACAACCCGAATAAGTGGTGGGACAACAGATTGGATAAGGTATGATAAAAGTTCTAATCATCATTTAGCTAAGTTTTATTTTTGTTAAAATCGCACATATGTCTGATTTCTTGACTTTTGCAGTTCAATGGCAAGATAAATGAAAGATACCCTGATTTCAAGCATAAAGAAACTGGTGAAGCACTATGGCTTACTGATTCACCAGTTTGGGTGGAGCCCAAGTTGCCTTCTTTAACAAGTAAAAACGGTCCAGCAATCCATGAGAGCGGTAGAGTGCCTTCTTGAGCTGTACTGGCCGATAGTTTTGCTTGTTTAGGTTGGTTTGAAAGTTGGACATGGCAAAGTCCATTAATCGTGATATGACATTGATCTCACAATTGTTTCGCGCTGGATATGTACTTTGGCAGAAATGTAAAACAATCAACAAAGCAATCAATTCTTTTTTTTGTTGTTTTACTAAAAGCACAAATCTGATATTTTTACGAGGACAAGGCTCGTCATGGGAAAATACCAAGTTTTAGAATTTGAGGATGCTTGAAGGGGTTCACCCTGTACGGTCCCAATGTGAATTGGGCATGTTGATTGAGTCGATCTTTATCTTATTTTAAGGTCATAATTCCATTTCCATCCCCACTCATTCCACCGGGTCTTCAACCCCTGTCAGTCTGTTCTTGCATCCATGGATTGAAACAGGGAAGTCGGATGAATTTAGAGGGGTCAGGATTTGGTGGGCTGCAAGCAGAAGTATTCCAGAAACACAGCAACTTTTGGTGTGAAGACAACTCACCAGGAACTGTTATCTTAGTCATGCGTTGAAAGAAAGAAGCAATTGCAGAAAAGAAGTGGCAACGATTTTTCCACCGAAAAGCAATCCTAGTGAGAACTGGTATGAAAGCCAAAGGACCGAGCTGAAACCATGAAGTTTTTGAGCACGGTGGTCTCCCCTCACGACCAAGAAGGAAGTTTCAACTCTCAAATCATAAGATTAAGAAGTAAACAGTATGGAATTATAGACAAAGTCATGGCCAGTACTAGTATATTTTCTGGTATTACATGCCTTCACGCGCACGTTGTCTCCTGCATGCCCCGGAGTGTCCTTTCCTGGACTTGCGGGGTTGTCAGCTAGTGTCATTACAAAGAGTAGCATTAAACCTCAAATTTATGGAGGTTTTGTGTTTTATGGCTGTATGCTCATAACCCTAAACCCTCTTGTCCTCGAATATCGTTGTTACCGAATGCTGTTGTTGGTTTCTTTCTTCCCCACCATGCGGTCAACTGGCGATTAATTCCCAGTCAAATGTCACTGTCCATACAATTTCCTTGCACTCCCATGAACAAAGAGTGTGCCAAAGAATTCAAAGAAGGATTAAGGTTTTAGCATAGATGTTTGATAGAAATCAAGGAAAGGAAAATATTGACTTACACTTAATTTTTCATTTCTTCTCTTAGTGTAGACATATATTTATTCTTTTCAAAATTGACCAAAATAGTTTCGGTTATGTCCATATAGATCAATTCTAGTCAAGCCTCTCATCAAACAAACAAGATAAGGGTCAATTAGTTTGTCCTCTATCTTTTGGGATGACTTTGCTCTCGTATTCTTAATTAATTCGTAATTTTTTTTTCATTTCATAATTTTACATTGCATGTCTTTTAAAATTTTCATAGCAAGATTTAAGATTTTAAGATTATAATTTTTAATTGATAATATAAAATTATATATAAAAAATACCATAGCCGAACATCAAATGAAGAAAGAAAATTTATATTCAAGTATCACTTTGTTTTTAATTATATAAAAAAAAATGAGGATGGGTTGAAAGAAGTAGGAGAAAAACCAAAAAAACCCATGCTATGCCCTTAATTAAATTAATTTTTTTTCCTTCTACGCTAAAGTAATAATAAATACTAGCATTCGCTACGCTGCCTTGTTCCTGCTGATAAACAAGTGGGCGCCGCTTTTGTTATCTACATTAATGTTTGTTTGCTTTCTTTGTTAATTAATTTATGCCTGAAGCGATTTAATTAATCTTTTAATTAATGCTAATCCTCGAATTAATGTGTACTTACGTCGGACGCATGCCTCTGGCCTTTCTTGCTTCATTTCCTTGATTAATACTATTTTAAATTATAAACATAAAGATATTAGTTTGTTAAAAGTCAAAACTCGAGAGTGATAATTTAATCATCTTCTATAATTAATTAAGCTTTGGTGGGGCAAATGGATTTTTCGTTGGACATCGTATTCATATAATTCTGACTAATCACCACACAAACAGCTGGAACAAAGACTAGTACTCAGTCTTTAATGTCGCTTAAGTTTTGGCAACGTCTTTAATCAGAAAAAGAAAAACAACATTGCCCAGTCATGGCTGAAGGTGTGTTGGTAATTTGTCTCGACAAATAGGACCCGTTTGGTACCCATTGCATTCATGCTTTCAGTGCGGTCAATGGAAGGATTTTTGTTCAACATAAATGTCCCTCTCTGCTACAACTTCCATGCAGTTACATATCCAAAGACTGATTGCAAGAGGAAGCCACTTCCCCGTGAACAAAAAAAAAAAACTGCTACAGTGTTTTTTTAATAATTTTACATCACATATTTAAACTTTAAATCTTGCAACTTAAACCATGATTAAAATGAAATTATTATATAAAATTTATTAAACATGTGATACAAAATTATGAAAAGAATACAAAAGTTTTCGTTCCTTTCTTGATGACAGAAGGCAGGTAATTAGCAACTACTTGTCATACAGATACTATTCTTTTGCTTAAATAAAAGCAAAAGGAGATAAAGCAATGAGATGAACACAAGTTGGGGGTGGGAAATTGGCACTTGACAGTTTGGTATATTGGCAAAAACTAGTATTATGTTGATCAAATTGGAATACTGACGATGGTATAGTTTCCTCTCGTCAACTCAACCAACGGATGGAAGCCGTCCTCATGGGGTTGATTCTTGCAATAATCAATGCTAATCTGTTGCTATCAGTAAGTTCAAATTAGTAAGGAATTAGGCCGATATAATGCATATGTATGCAGGAGAAAACTAAGACCTAGGCCTAATGTTATGTAATTATATATAGGAATAATTGCTTCCTAAGTAACCAAATTAACCACGTTTTGATGACTAAATCAGAAGATGATTATATTATCAAGGTTGATTACCGGCCATTATTTAATGTTGCAAAGACCCTAAACGTGCAAATCCATAATTTTATTATAATTTAAACATTAAATATATAATTATTAATTTTTAAATGAAATTAATTGTTAAAACAAATTTAACATCACTAAAATATCAAAAGACATCGATAGCAATAATATTCAAAAACTATCAAGAAAGTTAATTTTCACACGATTAACTTATTAAATTAATCGTCAACGACTATTAGAAGGTTATTTTCATAACAAAAGAAAAAAACACATATGCTTGGTAATCAAGTGATATAAAAATAGTTTTAATTAATCAGGTCATACGTACCGGGGTTGGTGATGTATTGATGTCAAGTGTAATACTATACACTTGGCAGTAAAATTTTCAAGGCGCGTGCTACTTAATTTCTGAAGTATTATTCTTTTTAATTTTAAAAATTTTATGATTTATATATATTAGAATATGTTTTAATTTTTTTAAGTGAATTTTAATTATTTGATTGTGATGTGTGGTATATCAATAATTTGAATGATTAAGATCTCAATTTAGACTTAAATATTTGGAACACGTGATCTAGACTTGAAGATTATTTAGTTAATAGTACTTGACCTAGATGGTTATACCTAAACCGATAGTTGTAAGTAATCGCTTTTCAAGAGTCTAACTAGGTAATCAAATGATTTTAAAATTGGATCAATAGTTTTAAGCCGTCACTTTCTAGAGTCTAACCCAAATAATCAAAACGGTGTTTACACTTGATGAGTGTGAACCAGGAAGTAATTGCAAGAACGAACTCAGGAGATGATGTTGATTTCTTATTTTCATAACAATTTTCTGACCAGCAAAAGGAGGTCAGAGACCATCACAGTCGTCTAGAAAATTGCTTTCCAAGGGGGACCAAAAGGACGAGATAATCTCTGACATGGATGATCTCATTTGACATAAACTGATGGTGCTTCCAGGAAGCAACAAAGTCCTTCGGCATTAAGTCATCCCTCTCTGATCCACTGAGAACGGTCCAGATTTGACATGTCTTACTTTGACCATAGAGAGGTGATCACCAAGTCACTATTTATAAGTTGCAAGGCTTGGAGCTCAAATCGCGGTGGTGAAACAGCCTTACAGGAAGGAAATTAAGGCGAATCAAACCCACAATCCTTTGAACCATGAATGAAACTATGTGTAGCTCTAGCGAATGGAAGCAACTCTATCAACAAACCTTTGATAGTTCTTTCGGGTTCTCCGATGCTACCACAGTCACCACTATCTCTGTCACATCCGGAAATAACTTGAACCCCAGCAGTTCATTTGCAGCTGGTGACCACTTTACCCCGAAGGGCTGTGTCTCAAAGCCTACTCGGAGGCGGTCCAGAGCTTCTAAAAGGACATCCATCACCCTCCTCAATGCCGACGCTAAGAACTTCCGATCCTTGGTGCAACAATTTACAGGCTGTCGCCGCCGTGCCACTTCCATTTCATTTGGCAACCAAAGAGGACCTGTCAATATAAATTTCGCACTTGGAACGGAGCACGATCATCACAATACTCATCCTGCTTCAGTACTGTCCGAACCCTTTGTTGAGAATAATGGTTACTGTTCTGGGCAATCTTCATCGCAACTGCAACAGCAAGAAGAGCATCAACAAAACTACCAGCAGCTGTCAAGTGAAGAACAGGAAAGGGAGTTTTCTTTAGACAGTATCACGCCCGATGATTATCTTCTTACATCTTGTTTGCCTAGATCAGGTCCTGAGATCCCACAAGGGCTTGCCATGGATGATATGTATTTCCTGGCATGAAGGTTTAGCTTTAGCAAGTTATTAATTAGAATTCCTAATTCCTTCATCAAAGAAACATTAAAATTCTGTTTACTTGTTCTAGCGAGAAAGTCAATAAAAGTAACTGAATGATGTTCTTCAAGTGTTTTAGTCTTTTAGAAATGTGATAATGGAGCAATGAAAACGAGATTTTCTCTTTGTCCTTTGCTTCTGGTCAAACCACTTAAAATCAAAAAGCTTTCAGATAATAAATCATTATATATGAGGGAAAAAAAAAGGTCACAGTATTTGTTCATTTGATATTTAAATAATCTAAAATACTCGTTTATATGTTTTTTAAAAATGCGTTTGTTATTGTATTTGAGAGGTTAAAACTTAATTTTGCGTGAATCTTTTTGTTTTTTTTTTAGAATTTAAGTTTTTTTTTTATTTTTTATTGAATCCAATTAAAAGATTATTTGTTTTACTTCTATTGAGTTATTTCAGCACAATTCATTTATTATTGAGATGAATTTGAATTTGAATCGTTTGAATAACAAGTCCAGCCAAATTGGAGTATTGTACTATTTGATTCTGACTGACTTGTGAGCTTTATGAAGCTTTTAAATTTTTTAATATTATAGATAAATAAAATATAATATTTATTTATATATTTTATTTTGTATTTGAATTTTTATATTGAATTCGAGCCAAATTTTGAGCCTTTTATATAAATTAATAATAATTGAACCTAATTTAGTCGTATTTGAGTAGCTTGATTATTTATCGAACCAAGCTCAAACACAAAATAAATTAAACTTTGATTGAGCTCGAGCCTTAGTTTTTTTTTTAAAATCTGGCCAAGCTCAAGTTTTACATTAGATCGGTTTGGTTTGATTTATTATATTGTTACACTTATTTGCGGTTCATTTTATATATTTGCAAAAAAAATATTATAATATACTAATAATTAAATTAAATACTCGAATACACTTTCCTGATAGTTTCCTAATCAATAAATATTAAATTAAAGCTATCATGTTGTTGGATTTTGTGTGGCTTTAATACCTTCAACAACCTTTTATAGATTTCTATTTATTTTGAAATTTTATAGCAATTCAATTATTTTATAGCCAAAACTCAATTATTTCATATTTGAGGTCGTTAATTAATATTTCCAATAAGCGAAACGCAGCGTTTTGGTCTATGGTGTCCTCTGGCTGCAAAAGAGCCTTCGACGATGGTTTCGCTGTGTGAGCAGAGAGCAGCGACATCGAGTCCCTGGATGAAGTGCAAGCCATGCTGGCGGCTACCCTCTCTTTCCCTTCACCAATCTCTGCATATTGTAAAACCTATCAAAGCTTGGACCTCAGCCTCAGAGCATCAATCGTCAATTATCCTCTTGCAAGCAGAATCTTCGTCAGAAGTAAACTCCTTACCTCCGTCTCTGTTCGTTCACTCTTACTACTTTATTTTACGCTTTCTTTTTGTCATTTTTATTGTTTTCCCAATCTGGGTTTCCATTTTATAATCTTTTCTCTGTTTGAGTAGCTGAGTTTATCAAGTAGTTTTCTATTCTATCTGCCATCAGGGGTGGAATTGGGGACCAAGTGGCTTACTGGTAGAAATCTTTTTGTATTAGGTAATGCTTTTTCCTGATTGTTACTTTATTCAACAATCAACAGGGTTCTAAGGGTTGATAGAGTGCCATTTATATGCTCTAAACAGCCATAGAGTAACTATCTTTTTGAGTGTTTATCCTGCTCCAAAATTACAGCTATTTTTGCTGTGTTAAATTTTGCGATTTGAAGAATGCTCTGCAACATATTGATTGTTGCTGTGATGATGAAATAGAGGCGAATTGGTTAGGAATAAGCATGACTCAAAAGTAAAAATGTGGGGTGATTTTGGTCCTGGTCACTACCTTGTTGTATCATTGAGAGAGATATAATGGCATTATTGAGAGGGAGAATTGAAGAAAACCATCAATAGTTTTAAAATTTTGCATTTTACTCTGACCTTCACCTCAGCCACGATGGATTGTTGGATTTCTATGGCAAGCAAGATAAATAGATTGAAAATAGTTCCTTCAGATATTTTATGATCTCGTCAGCAACAGCTGTATTCTTCTGTCTTTCCCTAATTTGTATCCTGGCGTCCATTGGGTGTGCTTAACTGCAGATTTGCCATATTCCACCAAAGAAAGCTGTTTGCAGAAGGAATTTGCAAATTTTGGCCAAATAGCTAAAGGTGATTGGGATGTCTCTCTTTATTAAATGGATTTAGTAGGATTGATATGTTACATTTCCATTGTTGTGTATGTTTTAAAGTCAAATAACTGTATGTCTATCTATTACAGTTAAGCTTGTCAAGGATGATTTCACAAAAAGATCAAAAGGATATGCATTTATTCAATATACCTCTCAGGATGATGCAATGCTCGCTGTAGAGAACATGGATCAACAGGTTCTATGCTGCTTTTCTTTATTGCAAACTTTCTCATTTTCTGAAAGTAGATAGATATGGCATAAGATTCGTAGATTACATTTACCTTACCTTCTCTCACCCCTTTGAATGAAGCAAAATTACAGGGGCTCTCCTTTTCTTTTACATCAATAAAACTTCTTTTACTGTTAATTTACCACTTTGAATGAAGCAAAATTACAGAGACTTTCCTTTCTTTTACATCAATAAAACTTCTTTTACTGTTAATTTTACCACCGTTTGCAATTTTTTTTCATTAAACTTTCGTCACCTGAATTTGAGAACCTTGGTGAGCTTTAACTTTTGTCTGCAGGCAATGTTTTGGTAAATATTTCTACTTTGATTCAATGTTGGTTTTGGGTTTATCAGGTATTTGGTGGCAGGCTGATATATGTTGAAATAGCAAAACCTGGGAAAGACAGGTTCAGAAGATATCCTAAAACCTCAGGACCCCCAACGGATAAGCAGCACTTACAAGAAACAAATGACGTGGCAGACTGCTGGTACTAATCAAATCCAGTTTAATCACAAGAAAAGTTGTGGGACAAAAGGTGACGTCCTGAATGACAGCACCAAGTAGCACTACCATTCAAGAAGAATTATCTTGTTAAGTTGGTTTGCCAGGCAAGTGTTGAATTATTATGGCTTCTGGCTGAAATTGCTGCTTAATCAAATAAACAAAAAGGGTGATACAGTTTTCATGACAGTTCTATCTGTCCTCCTTAATGTGATAAGGGAATTTCCACATGAATGCCTATTGTTCTTGATTAAAGTTACTGGTTTTGCGTTTAATACTTAAAAAGAAGATAGGTCTGTGTTTTGTGGCTTGTGATTGTATGAAGTGCACTTGGATAAATACATGACCACCGTCCAGAGCATTGATCATGAACTAGATTACTGATAAGAAGTAATTATGGTGAGCTTTCATTTTCCTCTGATTGTTACGTATGCAGTTTAATAACTGGTCAGATTTTGGAGATTCCCTTGTATGACATTATTAAATTCTGGCATCAAGACTCAAGCCCCAGGACAAATGCATTCATCAATGAGATAATCCACTAGTATTGTTAACTTTACATTATTTTTAGTTTCCTGAATCTGAAAAGAGAAAAAGTTTTTGGACTCTTATTTCCACATCCAACCAACCTATACTATCAGATTAATCAGTGGATGCAGCAAACTTCGTGGCGGAGATGGTTATGTCTGTTTCCATATACAACATGAACTAATTTTGCGTTCCAGACATGTACTAAACATTTTTGCAATCTAGTCTTCCTTGTCGTTTCCTCTTTTCCGATTGTTTTATGTTGTTCTTTGCCCTCTCATCACATGGTGATGGCGGTATAGCTTTCCTAATGGCATATTTCTGTCCAATCTAACTTTCACAAGCAAGCTTCAAGGTTGGTAGCTCAGGCACAAGGAAACACTAGTTTGATCCGGTTGCATATGGCTGGCCACTTCACTCAGTTTACACAATTGTTTGTAGTAAATCAGATTATAGATTATAATTAAGCAATTATACTATAGGTATAATTATGTAGTGAACAAAAAAAGTGCTAAAAAAAGTGAATAAAGAGAACTTTTACAACCTATAATATAAAGTGACCTCTGATGATCTTGGAAAGATGATGAAGAAAAATACAAATACTGTTTCTTAGAAGCCGCTTTAATAATTAAGCTCTATATTAAAGTAAAGATAATAAAATGGTAACATTCATGATAGCTAGGAAGCCAACTACAATCATTGCCCCAAACTTCTCTGTTAACTCCGTACAAAAGTACAAAAATTGTAATCCGATCCTCACAGTACTTAGTATAACAGCATCCCAGAACTCAAATATTGCAGAATCGTCCATAAGCTCCATAGATTGAGCCGAAGTAACTAACAAGAAGAAGGAAGGAAGAAGGTATGCTACCTGTAAGAACAGTACTCCATTTCAGCAAGAAACAGCTTTACAAAGCTGTAACAATTTGATCTAAGGAGGACATAGAGTCATTGGACTTGAGCCTATGCCTACAAGTAGGACAGGAAGAGTGAGAGAGCAGCCACTTATCGATGCAAGCAACATGGAAGCGATGGTCGCATTTGGGAAGCATCCGTATTTCGTCACCATCCAAGAAATCCGCGAGGCAAATTGCGCAGCCTGAAGCAGATGATGGTGAGCCTGAGTTGGCATAAGTTGAAGTTGGCAAAGCTACCATTTCTTTCTTCTTAAGACCCGAGTTGAGTCGACGCGAGGCCACCCATTCCCTTGGCTCGGTCACAGCACGATGCGTGCATTGAATTACACATTGTAGCATGGAGTGAAGGCCCAAGGCACAAACCAAGGCGCACAACATGGCTGCCACGATGATCATGAGGTTCAAGTCTACTGTCGGTTCTTGTGTTTCCTGACAGGCGATGCTTAAGGCGGGGGTACTAGCAGAGGGAGTTGGTGAAGTTTGAGCCATGAAGAGAAGGAGAAGCGGGGGAGAGTGAACGTCAAGTGTGAGAAGATAGAGATGGGAAAAATGGAGGGGGAAGGACACATGGTACACACAGAGCAAGAGGAAACATGAGGCCGAAGAGCCATGAGGATGAATATATGGTGTTGGTAAATGTGATGATGGGAAAGGGGACGGTGGCATGGGATAATGCTTATGCTTACTTGATAATGCACTGTCTACCCTTTTGTATAATGCGCTTCAAAGCAAGGGGAAAAGCAACACTCTCTTTCCAAGAATTTTTCACATTTCTATTGGTTGGCTTCATCAAGTTGTGGAAGACATGGAAAATTATCCTGAAAAGCCTTGACTAATTCTCCGAAGCATGCGATAATGTCTCAAACTTGAGTTGGGCCACTACTTTTTCTCTCCTTTTCCTCAATATATATGGATCAGTAATCACACAAAACAACAGCAAAACCCAAGAATAAGTATGGGTTTTCTTTTACTGGAGAAGAAGTAACCAAATAATCACAAGAAACAAACGAAATAATATGAACGAATAAGATTCTGCTAGTTTCATGTCCTGCTTTTCCTTATTGGGATGTCAAATTCTAGGTTGGATAGATAAGTTGGCAAGCAAGTTTCACTTAAATTGTCTATCTACTCCATTAGATGATGTCTATAAGGTGTCATGTTTTACATAGCACATTTATTGTATCATAATATGATAGTGTAGAGAATATCTCGACGTTACAGTAATTTCATCATGATTTTAAATAAAAATTTTAAAATTTGAACTCCGGTCACAAAATATAATTGAAAATAAATTTAATCCCATTTGATTCATAAGAGTATAAGATTTTTATTTGTTAATTAGGGTGCTAATCGTTTCGGAATTATTCTGGAGATACATATAGTAGAGATCCATGATAGAATGTGTAGCCTATCATCGCTTGACTCAAGCGAAATGGAATTGTCGGGATGTCATTGTGAGCAGTTTTTGGTTCTCTTTCTCCCTTTTTAAAATCGGGTGAAATACTTTAGGAAAAGACAAGTAAAGTGAAATGCATCAAAAAGCGGCGAGAGACAACTCACAGAAATTGCTGTTAGGCTATTGGGGTGTGTAAAGCATACAGAAACTCCCAAGCTTCTGTTCCTCAATTCAGAAGCTTTCTTGAAGTTTGATTAATTAATGTTTTTTGGTATTATGAGTTCTTTCATCAACTCCCATAAATTGAAAACGCCATTGTTAGAAACAAGTTGACCAAGGTAGAGTAACACTAGTTTAGGAAACAGGAGAGGCTGCCCTGGACAATGAAGCTTGGAGCATCTGAACTCTACTTTTTGAAAGCTACATTGCTTTCTCCGATGTAGTTGTACTGATCGACAGCCACGGAAACCACCCCATTCACTGCTTTGTCACTCTCTACAACTACAACGTTATTTGACGCATTGGTCACTGCATGTACCGGGAACCCTGCTGCTGCTGCCTCCTTTTGAATAAGGAATGAGTACTGAAAATGATTAATTCGATCTGGGAATACTAACAACGATGAAAAATCAGCAACCCATTTTGTCCCATTTCCCGCTACCGTCAATTTTCCGGCCGTTGATTTCAGGCTCATGCCATTCACGTTGTTCTGGTCGATCACCACTTGATCAATAGTGTTGAATTTCCCGTCTAGTTGGATAATTGGAACCATGTTTCTGGGGTTACCGTTAAACATATTGTTAACTATGTTCACCCCAGATATTTGTCCCCTAATTGACTTCAACACGACGTTAGCATCTCCTATGAAAAGTCCATTGGTAACGTGAACTTGAACAGGGTCTTCCATGACAATAGCTGTGAAATCTAGGTAACAATTGTCGATTCTAGTTAGTGCACCAGCTGATTTCACTAAAATTCCTACTCCACCAAATGCTGTTGCTTTGTTGTAACAGTGTACGCCTGTAACAATATTAGCTTGCCCTTCTAATAGAATTCCGATGGCTGCTGAGAAGATGGCAGCATCGGTGATTGCATTGTCATTACTTGAAAGTTGAATGGCAGTGCCAGAAAAACTTTTCTCCCCTTTGTCTCCACCAATTGTCGAATGCTGTCCTAGGAAACAACTTGATATGAAAGTCTCGTGGCCTTTCTGAACTAGAATTCCTTCCGTTGAGAAGTGAAGAAAGAAGCAGTTATTTATGCGAATCCTGGCCGAATCAATGATGAAGATCCCTCCTCCTCGAAAGCTTGAATCGAAAAGAATGTCCCTGAAGGTGATGTCTTCATAGTAGATTCCTACATTCTGATCTTTTGCGTCGGCAAAACCAGGAGGGACAGATGCTTTTTCTTTAAGGATCTGAGAATTTGGAGACCACACTTCGATGAGATGGCGGTCAACCGGAAATGTGTTTGACGCTCGCAACGACCCTCCTTTCACCTAATTGATCGATTAAGCATGGAGCATTATATGAGTCAAAAGGGTGTATTCAGAGTTCAGACCAAGATACTATCACATACTATTGAACTTCGGTATCCAAATGGAATGGCTTCAGGTTTTGCAGAAGATTTCACATAAAGGGGTTTTTTTTTTTCTTTTCTGTTCAAAAGAGCATTTATGATTTATATTCCTTTGCCTGCACCCACCCAATTTGATTTGACTTGACCTATGTCTTATTGCCCACTTCCCAGTCATTATTGAACCAGTTTCATTTAAAATTACGTACATAACTGGTTAGTGAGACTTTGAATTTTTAGTAAGAAATTGAATACATTTCAAAGCTTTTAGAGGGAAAAGTTGAAAAAAAATTTGCAATTAGGTCAGAAATATTTGAACTTGAAAGAGTGAGATTCACGCATGGATAGAAAACAGCAATCTTGTTTAATGCATCTCATGCAGGAAAGGACCGACCAGTCCAGTGCATCGAGCCAACATGGCACAGACACCACATGCATAGCTGCAAAAGTTACCTCAAAAAATCCAAGCCTCTGTCTTCAAAGTTCCACCAAATAATCCTAAAAAGGCTAGGCATTAACTACAGCAGGCACATGACATGGTGCAATGCAAGAAAATGTAGAGACGAAGTATTTATACATATAAAAGTACAGATACATCTAAAATTATACGTATATATGTCCATATATATCATCTATATTCTATACCCTGGGTATATTGGTAGACGGAAGAGAAAAGAGGAAACTAACCACAACATTGCCTCCGCCGGAAGCGGGAAACCTTATAGGTTTGCTGATTTTGTAGCTTCCGCCTAGCAAATCAATTACAACGCCACCCAAGTCAGTCACACCAGGTAGCATTTCGAGACCGCTTTGTACCTGGAAAGCGTCGTTCAACGCTTGCAATATGGCGTCACTGCTCTCTTGCTCCCCAGTTGGGTCTGCTCCGTACCCAAT